TACAAGAAGGTAGTGACTCCAAATCGCGATGATAAACAAAATACGACGGCCAAAGCGCGATCCCGGAGGCTGTACACGACGATGCTGACGAAGTTTGGCTGCGTGGTAATGGACGACGAAACCTACGTCAAAGCCGACTACAAGCAGCTTCCGGGACAGGAGTTTTATACGGCAAAAGGAAGGGGAAAGGTAGCAGATGTTTTCAAGCACATGAAACTGTCAAAGTTCGCAAAGAAATATCTGGTTTGGCAAGCCATCTGTACCTGTGGCTTGAAAAGCAGCATTTTCATAGCTTCCGGGACTGTCAACCAAGAAATTTACGTGAAAGAGTGTTTGAATAAACGTCTGCTGCCTTTCCTGAAGAAACACGGTTGTTCCGTACTGTTTTGGCCGGATTTGGCATCTTGCCATTACGGTAAAAAGGCCATGGAGTGGTACGCCGCCAACAACGTGCAGGTGGTTCCCAAGGACAAGAACCCTCCCAACACGCCAGAGCTCCGCCCAATTGAGAAATACTGGGCTATTGTCAAGCGGAACCTAAAGAAGACCAAAAAAACTGCTAAGGGCGAGCAGCAGTTCAAGGCAAACTGGCTTTCTGCGGCGAAGAAGGTGGACAAGGTGGCTGTACAAAATCTGATGGCAGGGGTCAAGCGTAAGGCCCGGCAATTCGGATTTGGAAAAGCGGAAGCCTAACTGAATATTTTTCCTGAATTTTATACTCATTGAACTTGAAAAAGAAATTTAATTTGATTTTTTAAATAAACAATTTCACCGATTTACACGCGTTTTCCCTTGACCAAATTTTGACCGTATCACCCTTAAGACGATTCCAAATGTGCGTTCACAAAACCTTATCCTAAATTTTAATATTAAAATTCTAGTTTGCGAAGCTAAAATTACTTGAATTAATTGAATTGGAGATAAACTTATATTATATTTGATTATTGAACTTACAGTCTAATGTACAATACGATTCAACAACGTGAATTTTTAACGATAATAGGACTTAGATCTGTAAAGTTTTATTCAATTTATACCTTTATGCAAAATAAATATCACATTTGTAGCTTATCGCAGCAAAACAAAATATTGTGATATCACATCAAAGTTGATGCACTTCAATAGTGTCAAAAATATAGTGTAATATGACTTGCCAAAAAGGACAAAATTATCATTAATACAGTGCATGTGACATTACGCTACTTAAACGCTACTTAAGCATTTGTTTATTTTTGAGGCCATTAGAATTACATAAAATTTTCGACATGATTGAAGTGCATCCTCTTAGATCTAATATTAAAATTTATTTTTTGCTGTGTATCACGTTTCTAATAAATCACGCGATAGAAAAGTAAGAGCTACTGTGTTACCTGACTTATAACGAATATACGTTGTATACGAGTACCCCGAATACAATGTATAGTTCGTCTAATTTTACATTGCAAATTCTATGCAAAATAAGACGAGTCATACGTTGTATTCGGAGTGCTCGTATACAACGTATATACGTTATAAGTTAGGTAACACACTAGTATCTAAGAAACGACCGTAGATTTGGCGTAGGATTACGTGCTCGGTATAAATATTCGGCGACTGTGTTAGGGAAACTACTTTTTCCCATCAAGGAAACGCCTCGTTTTATGATGACAAAATTATGTATTTCCGTGTACATAACGCACGGATTTTTTGGTTCATTGAATAGATAATAAAAAAAAGCAAAAATTTATTGGAATATCATATAAATTCGAGATTTTTTAGCATTTTTCTAGCGTTCTGGAGAAAACATTACCTTAATTCGAAGTGTTTCTGGTTAATTGACAAGGTCATGTGGTATTCGGTCATTGCGAGAGCACATAAAACCACTTCAATACTGTTACGTATTTAACCTCAAACGTTGCTGGGTACATTATCAAAGAGCTTTGGGGTGATGTGGCTGGCAGCAAGGCGAGCGAACATTCAATGAAAATAACTCTTAAAGAACAATAATTTATGGTGGTCCTAAAAAGAACCGTTTTGTCGTGATGCTGAGCTGGGTGTTCAACACGGATGAGGATGGTGAGCTGTATGTTCCCAAGCAACAATTTTTGTTTTATTTAAGTTTTATAGCAGTTGATATAACCAAATTATAAAACCTTTACTGACGACCACATTGCTTTAACAATCTCCTGAGAACCGCAATACAGCCATGTCATGGCCAATTGGCCCAGTTTTAATGCAGTCATTAAAACTTGATATGCGAACTACTTTAGGAGCATAGGATTTATGTCAGTTTTATCACACTCTAGACGTGATTGTTAAAAATGAAAACATAAAACCTCCTCCAGGTCAGAAAGTTTTAACAGCCTTCTAATGACTACCATAAAACTATATTACAACGGCATAAATCGCTCCTGAAGAAGTTGATAAAACATGATACGCAAAACATTTTGACAACTTTGAAGGTTTTAAGTTGGGGTTTTTGGATGATAGTTAATATTGAGAAATATTGTATTGTGGTTTTATTCTTTCGATGTTTGATGTGAAATCATGATCCTTGTCAGTTGGTAATAATGGCTGATATTATTGTACATTGAAAATAAGACGACTTTATTATAATTTAAACCAATCTGTATATGCTTCACAGCATGCCGTGCAATATTTATGGTGATTATTATACCAAATAGGAGCATAAATTTAGTGCGCCATATGAATACTAAAATATAGGGATATTTTTAATTTGTCTGCATTAGCACCATACATTAAAGAGTCAATCAAAGATTATCTATTTAGTACAAAACTGTTACTACTGTTGAGCAATAACCAGTCACATATTATTTAATTATACATAGATGTATGAAAGTGTTTTATTGCCTATTAATTAAAGCGTAATTATTCATATTGTGTGAAATTTGTTCATACGGCGACATTTTTTTTCGTTATAACTTGATACTCCTTAAAAATACCTCAATATAACATATTCTCCTAGATTGGAATTCTATAGCATAACATAAACCTAATGGTTGTATCTTAGCATTTCGTAGTCCAAATTGAGAGCGTTAAGTTATATTTAAGCTATATAACTAGCTTGCTGGTTTTATTCGGTACAGCGAATCAAAACAAAACAAAAACTATGACCACCTGTCAAAAAGTCAACATTCCAAGCGATCCTCCTATTTTCGCTTGTAATCAAGATGTAAGAAATGGTTATTGGATCCACTAAAAGCTTTTTCAATACAAGGTTTAAAGCCGTGATGTCAATACTGGCCATCTCCAAACGGATTTAGTGAAACTGTCGGCGTTGCTTTAAGGAGGGTTCGTGGATCTTTCGGAAGTGTATCGGAAAGCCGCTTGTTCAATATTTTTAAGAGCTCCTTCACCGCACTGTGCCTTATGTAGGGATCGTATAACTGTAGTTCCTCCAGGAGTTTCATATTGTCGATCGTCTCATCTTCATCGTGTTCAGAAGCACTGAAGGGGTTTTCATTGCATATATCTGAATAGATTTGTTTTTTATAATGACAAAAAATTTCAGAGTATTTTTTGTTGTAGCAGTATATTTCTTATCTGTGAATCTTAGGCCTCCGATAAAGATGATAGTTGTAATGAAGCTTTAATGAAGGTCTAAGACTGCTTCAAGTTTTATATCGGTCATAAAAAGTGTACCATAAAACATAATTGTATGTTTTGTTTTGGTTTTATTCTTCAGTTATAAGTAGTGATGCAGAACCACCTTACAGCTACCGTTAAAACTATGAAGTCTGAGTTTTAATTTAGTAGTCATAAAACAGTTTTATAGACGACTTGACGGCCTGATTTTATGACAAGCACACAAAACCGTAATACAACCACAGGCTGGAAGGGATGCTATGATAAAACAATGATAAAATAAGAATAAATCTTCCAAGCATTTAGATTGTTACTTGGGTTGTTAGGGCAAGGGTGACGCGCTTGGCATAGATAGCCCACAGCGACTCACGAAGAGCTACTGAATCCGATCAGTAGCGGTGCGGCTTCATCCTCCTTCGTCGGTGAATCGAGGGCTCTTGAGGGCAGTCTTGATAGCTAACTTCTTGCAAGGAGCCTTCCGATGTGTACTGGAGAAAAATGTACAACGCCACGCGCCAAAAGCGCTGCTGCTGCTAATGACGATCGGACACCACCACGGACACATGGTGATTGAATAAACACCGTTCGGCGAGACTGAATGGAATTCGATTTTGAAATCTGTGTTAGGGAAAGCGCATTTTACAGGCAATCGGTGATAATTTAGATCTCCATTGCAACAGTTGGTAATTTGTGTAATTTTCAATAGTGACCTATTGAAAATTGCTAAGGTATTCATTTTAGCAGATTTGTAGAAAAATTTCCAATCGATTGGCTTGTTAAGAATTGAAATTCATCAGCTATTGCCAGAGTTATAAGTGGCCAAAATCTGACCACTTTTCGTAACGCTAACGATTTTAGTTTTTTGAAATTGCACCCCAATATGTTGCCCAAAGACGTAATCCTACGTCAAAAATTTGACTTCATAAAATCGAAACTTTACTGTTTTATGGATTATTACACATAATGGAACAAAAAGTTTGCTTTTCCCATAGTAATTCTCGTTTACACTTCAAATGTTCTGTGAACAGTCAGTTTTTAACTAAATGAGTTATAATTTTGGGAAGATAATCAGGACCCGATTTGGAACCGTTTATGCACTGTGGAGCGAAAATTTCAAATTTCGCATAAGTCTAGTGCATACCCTGGGAGTTGCCGTCGGCTCAAGCACAGCAGCCTGGGGCTTTGGCTGACTCTCCTCTGGGACCAAGTGTTTCCGGGACTAAAAAGTTTGTTCACAATAACGAGTTTCGGTTTCTCAAAATATCTCGGTTATTTTTGGGTAGTTGCTGCAAATATTGCGCCTTTTTTAGTTAGGTGTATTCGAAATACTTCCTAAATGTTTTGCAATGTATTTTTTTCATGGGAAGCTTATGTTTTGCCTTTTAATTTGTGAACAATTGAAACACTTCACTTACCTCCCCGCACCACACAGGTCAGCTCTAGGATGCCACCTTCTTCGTACGGACCGGCACGGACGGGCAGCTCGAACCCACTCGAGTCCTGGATTTTTGGCACCTCCGGTGGCACTGCAGAGTGAAGAAAATTGAAGAAAAATGAAAAGTTACAACAAGAACAATGCTCCGGGTCACACCACCATTCCATAACACGATCGTTAGAAAAGCAAAGCTCCATTCAACTGAATCAAAAAAAAAAAAAACGGAAAAGTACCGGAAAAATGCATTTGAACTGCGTCCTCGGTCGAGAATGCCGGACGTCCTTCACTTCACTCGACGGAAAAGGGTTCAGGCAAGAAATCAAAAAGCGAAACAGTTGCACACTCTCAATTTACCCACCAACAACGTGACGGAAAAGTGAACCGGGTTTTGCTTTCTTTCGTCACTCTCGACGTCGGCGTCGCACATTGAAAGCGAAAGAATAAACGAAAATGGCAACAGCTAGCTGCTTCTTTGTAGCAGAGCCGTTATTGTCGTTGTGCATATCGAGCGTAATGGTACTTAACCGAACAAAAGCATCTAAACAACAACGAACGACTCCAACGTTCTCCATCGACAAACTGTACTTACCCACTATTTCTAGGTTGACGTTGCTGTTCTTCGTAGGCGACAGGAGAAAATCTACCCGGCAGCGGAACACTCCGGCGTCCTTTTTCTGAAAGAGGAAAAACGCTCGTTTAATGCTTCAGCCGAGAAAAGAAGTCTTCAATCTACAATTCATTGATGTAATAAACTTTCAGCAACTCAATCAATAACCGTTGATCGAAAATAGTGCCATCGGGCTATTTATATCTGAATACGAAATTGATTTCCTTCTTCCAACCGCTTGTCCCCGCGCTGCGGTGGCACAAATCTCATCATCTTTCCCGGGGCAAGTCAAACGCAAAAGTTAAACAAGCAAATCCAAAGAGATTATTACTTTTCCATTGGTAATAAATTTTCCAATTTTTCGTCCCTATACAGCAGCAGTGGGACAGAGCCGAGCTTCTTCTAGGATGCTTGGAGCAAAAAGGAAAAACCAAATCTTTTCCCATACCAGTGAATGAATGGAAAGCAACAAGAGGCAAAACCACCGATTGAGGCGACCTGACTGGGGAAAAAAAATGGATGGAAAATCGTCCCACCAGCGGATCAGTTGGGCGGAAGGGAAAAACTCTCATACAAATTAGATTCTTTATTTTCATCCACGTGAAAGCCCGCTCTTTTGCTCGTTCGACCGGGAAAAATCTACTCAATCAGCAGTAGTGGCGATCACGTCGCGATGCGGTGTGCTTTTTCAATTTTTATTTTTTTTAATTTGTGTTCCGCAAAAGTTTCCCACCCGGATTCGGGGTGAGAAAGGGCAAGCTGAATTTCGTTGAGTAGTTGGGGAAGGAAGAGCCCTAATGGAAAATGGTGATTTTCATTTAAAAATACGACTGACAGTGCTGCATTTGTTTGGATTCGGATTTGGTCGGTTGCCTTATGGATAATAATTTAACGGAGTGATAAAAAAAAATCTAAAAATAGATACGTTTTTCGAATTTAATCGAGGAAAATGTTTCCGGATGCCCACCCAATGCGCCACTACTGTTGCAATTTCTTGTGATTAAATATTGAAAAATATACGCCGTTATTGAACTGAACCCAACCTTTTCAATTTTCTCTTCCGTCAACAATGTAAACTGGAAACGCGAAAAATGTATCTACCCATTTCAAATACGATGCGAGTTCAAACTGAAGCGTGAATTAAAAAAACCAAATTCCTTCCCTTTTGATGATGGCCTTCGCACCGGAAGGAATCGTCATAGCCCGTTTCCTGTACTACTGACTGCTCAGAAGGGGAACCGAAATCGGTGACGACAACGACTTCCAAGATTATTCCACTTGATTTTGCCTTCGATTGGTTGGCTTTCATTGTCGATTAATTGGAACAGTGGACGAGGAAGAGAAGAACACAGCAAGAAGGGAAATCTATTAGGTTGGGAATATCTGGCTGGTGATTTTCCCCGTCTCTGCTGCTCTTCCGGGGATGAAATTTGGAAATCGAAAAATTGAAATAATCATCTTATTGGTTGAGTTTCGTGGATTTTATGGGTCCCTTTGGGTATCGGGGTTGGTGAAGCAAATCGAACGGAAATTGCTTTCGGTTATTTTTCCGAGATGTTTGCACTGCTGTGTGTTGAATTTAAAATCGCTTTCAAATCCTCACATTGGCCTAAATATCCTTAAAACAATCGAAATACATTCAAAACGGTAAAGTAGTTCTGTGAAAATGCTGAAATGGCCAAAGAAGCACCGGAAAAAGCCTAATCGTTTATTATAACGAGTCAAATGTTATTGAAAATGACATAATATTGTCAAAAAATTAACATTACTTGCAAAATGGTTACTAATATACCGAAAAGTCATAATAGTCATAACACCGACAAACCGACTAGTGAAGAAACAACAAAAACAAACATCAAGGGAACAATAGACGTAAAGGATAAAAGGTGGACTGAGTGAAAAATTACTAGACGTGACGAACGGCGTCCTGTTATTTGCACATTGTTAAACTATCTTAATATTAAACTTTCTTATATTTGAACTTATCTACTTACGAGCGATCGGCTTAGGAAAACAATCAGTAGGTATTAGTTGTAAAAGTGAATTCTTAACGATAAAAGTAAATCATGGATTCTAACCTACAACAACAATTACAGATAAACGATTCTTAGTAAATAACGGTATATCTATTGTTGAGCTTAAAACTGATTGTTGGATTTCAAACTATCTTAACAAGGTGAGGATAAGTAAATTGTATGAGTAACATAAAGCTTATTTATGGATTTTAAATCTAGTTAAATTACCTAAAAACTGACATACAGTCAGGAATCCTTATTTCCGGGGTAACGGGGGCGTGAATAAGGTACCGCGAATAAGGATATCCACAGCTTATGGGATTTTCACTAATAGAGGCTGTGGTGGATTATCTCATTTGTTACAATATATAGAGCTATACTGTCTTGGACAAAGTTGTTGTAATTGGGAACTACGCCACTAGGGACGCTTCACTTTTATGTTACTTATGACGGGCGTTATAATATATGGAACGTTGGACCCAAGTTAGAATATTTCGTGATCCTGGCCATACAGAAAGTTGCTGTCTTGAGCAAAGTTATTCAGGTGACCAAGTCCTTTCGGATGGTGATCATATTATTAAAGAACTCTATCACTACGCGGTGCTAGCGTGCACATCAGCTTTGTATATAAGCTGAATCTCAAAATCCTGGCCATATAGAAGATTACTGTCTGGAGCAAAGTTGTTCAGGTGATCATGTCTTTTTGTATGGTGTTCATATTAGTTCAGAAATCTCTCACTACGTAGCGCTAGTGTGCATTTGAACTTCCTATATAAACTGTATCTCGAGAACCTGGTCATATAGAACGTTGCTGTCTTCAGCAAAGTTGTTCAGGTGACCAAGTCCTTTCGGTGGTCATATTATTTCAGAACTCGCGCACTACGCGGCGCTAGCGCGCTAGTGTGCACATCAACTTCCTTAATATGTTATGTGTGGAAAGCTTGTCCATATAAGATGTTGCTGTGCAATGTGAGGACAGGAACCGGAAAAGGGATAATGTGTAGAGGTCTGAAATCGATTTCGGACGCCATTTTAAAATCCAAGATGGCGGTCATCGGTTCAAGAAAAGCTGTCAAATACCCTACAATATGGGTATTTTGGGAATGGGGGCAACGTGAAGAGGCCGGCAATCGATTCCAGGCTACACTTTAGAATCCAAGATGGCGGCCATCGGTTCAAGAAAAACTGTCAAATACTCTAAAATATGGGTATTTCCAGAAAGGGGACGACGTGTAGGGGACAACGGAAGAGTTTTGCGCAGCCAAGAACATTAGCTTCAAGGCTTTGCTGCTCCTTGATCACGCTCCGTCACATCCGCCCACCCTAAGCAATCCCAACATAATGCTTCATGCTACATGCCACCAAAGATCACGTCTTTGATTCAACCCCTTGATCAAGGCATCATCAAAAATTTCATGCTGAAGTATGTCAAGAGAAGCTACAGTTTTATTTTGGAAACAGCCGAGAATGAAGGCCTTTCACTAGCGGATACAAGAAAGTAGTTCAGCATCAAGAATTGTTTCGACTGCTTGGATGTGGTTCTAAAGGACATAAAACAAGTCACGTTGGTAAACTGCTTGAGGAAAATTCTTCCGTCGTATTTCGCGAATTCACAATGCAATGAAGACGACAACGAGGATTTGCAGATCATGTCCGAAATTCAACAAATTCACGGAAAGTTTGGTGCACCCGGGGATAAGAAACACGGTGAAATCAACGAAATCATAAGAGATGAACCGGCAACAGCAGATAACATTGTTAACAAACTGAACCCGTCTACAATGAATATGGATTATATTTCCATCCCACCACGGCATAAATCGAGTTAAAAATAAATCAACTATCCGAGCTCGAAAGCTTCTGCACATTGGACAGCAATGTTGAACAGAGGACAAAAATGCAAGATTTGCTAAGGGAAGCCGAAACGTTGCCATTTTGCTCAATGATACGTTATACCCATTATACAAATTATACGCAATATGCTTTGTAAGCATCCCAAGCAACACACTTCCATCATAATAAGTTGCTGCAACTTGATTGTGACTGAAATAAGTTACATACAAGTAACCACAACTACTCAGTGACAAGTGTGCTGCTAGGGATTATTCAGGAAAATTAATGTGAGTCAAAACTTTGAGCTCCAAAATACCCTAAAACATTAAAAAAAATCATCTTCCTAGTGGATTATCGCCAAACCTACCCCGTAAACGGTCCACGTTAACTGTGCTGAACTGATACGAGGTTGTCCTTAGCCACTAAATGTCCCTTCGAAAGCCAATTGCCACCATTTTGTGTCCTAAAATGGTGGCAGACATCGATTTTGGGCCTTTACACTTCGTCCTCATTAATAGTTTACGTTAAAGCAAAGGCCGCAACCTTCAATTTCAAAATGGCACCTGGCATCGATATCTGATCTCTACACGTCGTTCCCTATCCAAAAATACCCATATTGTGGAAATTTACAGTTTTTCTTGAACTGATGGTCGCCATCTTGGTTTTCAAAATGGCGTTTGGCATCGATTTTCAGCCTCTACTCGTCGTTCCCTTTCCAGAAATACCCATATTGTAGGGTATTTGACAGTTTTCTTGAACCGATGGCCGCCATCTTGGATTTCAAAATTGCGTCTGGCATCGATTTCCAGCCTCTACACGTCATCCCTTTTCCGAAAATACTCATATTGTAGGGTATTTGACAGTTTTTAATTAATCGATTATCACCATCTTGGATTTTAAGATGGCGTCCGAAATCGATTTACAGCCTTCTACACGTCATCCCTATTCCGTTTCGTGTCCTCACATTACACAGCAACATCTTATATGGACAATAGAGTGATGCAAAATTTGAAATTTTCGCTCCACAATACTTAAACGATTCCAAATCGGATCCTGACTAACCTCTCAAAATTTGAAACCATTTGGTGAGAAACTGAAATCGCACAAACCATTTGAAGTTTGTATGGGAATTACTATGGTAAAACCAAGATTTTTGTTCATGTCTATCTAATAATTCACCATATCGGTCTGCTTCAAAAGCTTTCAACTGTACTTGTTG